ACCCCCGGCAGCCCGGAGAGGGGGGACCCCCGGCAGCCCGGAGAGGGGCGATCTCGGAGCTGGGGAACCCCCGGGACCCCCGGGAGCTGGAAAGGGGCGAGCCCAGAACTGGGGGACCCCCAGGAACCCCCGAAAGCGGCCACCCTGGAGCTGGGAGACCCCCGGGACCCCCGGGAGCGTCCATCCCGGAGCTGGGGGACCCCCGGGACCCCCGGGACCCCTGGGAGGGGCCATGCCGGAGCTGGGGGACCCCTGGCAGCCCGGAGAGGGGTGAGCCTAGAGCTGGGAGACCCCCGGGACCCCCCAGGAGCAGTGATCCCAGAGCTGGGGGCCCCCGGGACCCCCGAGAGCAACGACCCTGGAGCTGGGGAACCCCCGGGAGCGGCGATCCCGGAGCTGGGAGACCCCCAGGACCCCCAGGAGTGGTGATCCCAAAGCTGGGAGACCCCTGGGACCCCCGGAGAGGGGCGAGCCCAGAGAAGATGGAACCCTGGGACCCCCTGGACCCCAAAGCAGGGATCATCCCCCAGCGAGGAGACCCCAGCCCCGGTGCCCCACAGCCCCCCCATGGCCCCAGGACACTTGGGGGGTGGGCAGGAGCATCGTCCCCCTGCCCGAGCTCTGCCCACTCCCCCCCAGTTAACGGATCCCAGAGCCCTTTTCTTCCCCAGCCCTATGGGAGCCCTTCTGGGGGTTGGTGGTCCCTGCCTCAGTTTCCCCCTGTGCAACAGAGGGGGGGCAATGGCCGGGGGGGGCTGGATGCAGACCCCCACCCCTCTGGGTCGAACCGGGTGGTCCATTGCAGTCCTGTTTCTTTCCCACCCACGTCTGGGTGCTGCGTTGGGTGGGTTTGGGCCGAGAACGGGTGATTTTGGGGCTGAGCCACAGCCGGGGACGTCGCTGACCTTGCCCTTGTCCTTGTCCCCTCTCCGGCTCCGGTGGGACAGGGCTGGCGGGGACGTGACGCTGGTCCTGCTCTTCCCATAACCACATTTCCCAAGCAGGACAAGCTCCTCATTTCTCCTCCACCTCCCTTTTGAGGATGGATCTTCGTATTTATAACGCCGGCCCCGCGTCTTGGCTGTCTCTCGGTGTTTTGGAGGGTTTTTGGGTCTCGGTGTTTTGGAGGGTTTTTGGGCTGTATTGTGGTGTTTTGGAGGGTTTTTGGGCTGTATCATGGTGTTTCGGAGGGTTTTATGGACACAAGATGCTGGTGGTGTCCTGCCCGTTGACTTCCCAGTAGGGATGGATTTGGGCAGGAGCAATCACAACCCAAACCAGGGAAAGCGCTTACGGCTTGGTTTTCTCCCCAAACCCAGGATTTCCCATTCCCAAACCTTGGCCAGATCAAGAAGAGGAGGCTGCGAGGAAGAAGAGATGCTACGAGACACCCAGGCAGGTGAGGAAGAATTTGCTTTTGACCTTTCATCCTCTCTTCTCCTCTGTCCTCCAGCCAAGCATCGCTTCTGGCTGCAGGACAGCCCCGTTGCTGACGCCGGCCTCCCGGAGACAGATCTGGGAGGATCTCCTTCCCCTTTCCTCTGGCACGGATGCAAATCCCCTTCCTCTCCTTGTTCCTTCCTCCGGCAGGTGATGAGATGAGGATGGAGAACACGGAGGAGAAACCCCACCGGCAGAACCTTGCGGAAGAGGCTGTTTTGAAGGGCTCCATGGAGCAGGAGGTCAACGGGGAGGAAAAACCAAGAAGATGCTCCACGGGGAGAGGTTGCAAACCCACCCCGCGAAGCTCGGAGGAGGAAAGACCAACCATCTGCGAGGAATGCGGTCGGAGCTTCAGCCGGAGCTCGAACCTGGTGGTACACCAGCGGTTGCATGCTGGGGAGAAGCCCTACAAGTGCTTGGAATGTGGGAAGAGCTTCAGCCGGAGCTCCCATCTCATCACCCATCAACGTCTGCACACCGGGGAGAAGCCCTACAAGTGCTCCGATTGCGGGAAGAGCTTCAGCGACAGCTCCACGCTCATCACCCATCAACGCTTGCACACCGGCGAGAAACCCTACAAATGCCCCGATTGCGGGAAGGGCTTCAACCAGAGCTCCAACCTCACGTCCCACCAACGCACCCACACCGGGGAAAGACCCTACAAATGCCCCGAGTGCGGGAAGAGCTTCAGCGTCAGCTCCTACCTGATCCGCCACCAGAAGATCCACACGGGGGAGAGACCCTATAAGTGCGAGGAGTGCGAGAAGACGTTCAGCCAGAGCTCCAGCCTCATCATCCACCAGCGCGTCCACACCGGGGAGAAGCCCTACCGGTGCGTTGACTGCGGGAAGTGGTTTAGGAACAGCTCGGACCTCATCAGGCATCAGCGGACACATACGGGGGAGAGACCCTACCGCTGCCCCGACTGCGGGAAGAGCTTCAACCGCAGCTCCAACCTGATGACCCACCAACGCATCCATACCGGGGAGAAGCCCTACGAGTGTCCTGAGTGCGGTAGGAGCTTCACCGTGAGTTCTGCCTTGATTAAACACCAAAGGACCCACCGGGAGGGGAAGCCCTATGAGTGCCCCGACTGCGGGAAGAGCTTTATCCGCTGTTCGAACTTCATTACCCATCGGAGGACCCACGTTGGGTAGAGAGCTGGTGACCCACGTTGGGTAGAGACCTGGCTGGTGGTCCCCACATCTTCCTCGTTCCCTCATCCAGGGACCTGGATGAATGCAGGTAGGAACATCCATTTGCTGAGATGGGCTCAGCTGTGGGACGCAGACCAATGGCAGAAATTCATTAGGAGGAGTGGACTTATTGGCTTTAGACTCCAAAAAGTCAACATCTGCTTGGTCCAATAACTTCTTCTGGTGGCATCAAGCGACACCAGATGGACCACGGGCTTCTTCCACAGCCAAATGGCGGATGGATTTGGGCACAGACCAAGATTTTGAAGGTGCCTCTTGGGACTCAGCTTCTTCGGGAAGGAAGAAATGGGGTGGAAATGGTCCCACAACTCTGTTAGGACACACCAGGGTGAGTTCTTCCTCATTTACAGGTTGGGTTTTTTTGTTTTTTTCACGTGATGTTATTTGGTGGCATCATGCAACCCCTGTCCTGCCCATCCAAGGTTCGTCTTTGGATGAATAAACCCTTGAGTTGTCCAAAGGGCTTCAGAAGAGGCTCCTGCGGCATCTTAGGGATGGAGATGGGCACGGCCCAGCTCCACGTCCCGCTCTTGCTCCCTTTGTGCTGCCCAAAATAAACAAGAACTCAGCTGCAATAAACTTTTCCTCCCCTCGCCTCCTTGGTACGGCTTCGTTGATCCCAAAATACCTCGTTTTCATCCAGGCTGGGGCTTGGCCATCTCTAGGGTTGAGTTTTTCCAATGGTGCTGCAAGGATGGGAATGGTGGGATGACTCCATGGATGGGTGGAGGGCGAGGAGGGCAGGTGGGCTTGTGGCGTCCACGTTTTGGAAGGATGCTACACCCTTACGACGTAACCATCGGCGCCAAATAAACCTCATCCATGGTTTGGTTTGAACCCTTATCCTTGTCCAAGGGAAACGGAGAGGGATGGAGAGCCCGATCCCAGCGCCAGGGTCTCCACTCCAGCCCCACCACCCCTGCAGCCGCTTCCCGGGGGGGTCTCGCACCCTCCGGGCGCAGAAATCGCTCCCGGCCCCCCCAAATTGGGGAATTTTTTCAGTTTTCCCCTCCAGAAAAGGCTCTTCCACCCACACAGCCCCCGCTTCGTCACCACCGCAGAGCGACTCACACGACGAGAGAATTGGAAGAGGAAAAACGAGAAAATTCGTGGGTTGAAATAAAGACGGTTTAATAAGGAAAGCAAAAGCCGCGCACACAAGGTAAGCAAAACAAGGAATTCATTCGCCGCTTCCCATCGGCATCTCCAGGAAAGCAGGGCTCCGTCACGCGTAACGGTTACTTGGGAAGACACACGCCATCGCTCCGAACGTCCCCCTCTTCTTCTTCCCCCAGTTGTATATACTGGGCGTGACGTCATACGGTGTGGGACGTCCCTTTGGTCGGTTGGGGTCGGCTGTGTCCCCTCCCAACTTCTTGTGCCCCCCCCCCCCCCCCCAGCCTCCTCGCTGGTGGGGTGAGGAGCAGCAAAGGCCTTGACTCCGTGCAAGCGCTGCTCAGCAAGAACGAAAACATCCCTCTCTTATCAAAGCCGTTTCCAGCAGAAATCCAAAACACAGCCCCGTACGAGCTACGATGGAGAAAATTAACTCTTTTATTAATTCAAAATGCTTTTATTTTGGCCGTGATTTTCTTTTGATCCATCCCCATCCTTTAAAAAGACCCTAAACAGGGTTGAAAAAATAAAGAAATTGAACGGAGACATCTAGAAAAAAACCCATTTTACCGTGATTTCTTTTTTTTGGGGTGAAGCTCGTGGGTCTCCCCTCCCTCCCTTCCCCTCGTCTATAATCTAAGGCAAAAAACCAGCGGAGGGGGGGTGTCTTTTTTTAAAACCACCCCCCAAAAAACCCCTTTATATATAAAAACATACAGGAAAAGAAAAATAATAGCTGGCGGGATGTGGGTGGATGGGTTGGTTACCCCTCGGTGCTACCAGCAGGGACCACCGTGATGCGTAGGTAGGTCTGAGGTGCCACCAGGATAGGGGTGGTCCCCGGTGGGGTGGTCCCCACCTTCAGCTGGTGCCTCTTGCGATGCGAGACGAGACCGGAGCTGGGCCAAAAGCTCTTGCCGCACTCAGCGCGACCCTAAGGCTTCTCCTCGCTATGGATCTGCCGATGCTGGATGAGTTGGGTGCTGCTGGTGAAGCTTTTGGGGCAATCCAGGCAAATATAGGGTTTCTGCTCCAGGTGGGACCGTTGGTGAACCAGGAGGTTGGAGCGACGGTTGAAGCCTCTGCCGCAGTCGGGGCAGCGGTAATCTTTCTCGTCGGTGTGCATCTGTTGGTGCTTGGCGAGCCTGGGATGGTTGGAAAAGCTCTTCCCACAGGTTGGGTCGGGATGTTTGTGCTTGACGGCGTGCGTCTGCTGATGCCGCGCCAGTTGGGAGCTGTCGCCGAAACGCCGCCCGCATTGGGAGCAATCGTAGGGTCGCTCGCCGGTGTGGGTCCGCCAATGCCGCACCAGTTGGGAGCTGTCGCCAAAACGCCGCCCGCATTGGGAGCAATCGTAGGGTCGCTCGCTGGTGTGGATCCGCCCGTGCCGTACCAGCTCCGAGCTGTTCTTGAAGCTCTTCTGGCACTCGGGGCACTTGTAGGGCCTCTCCCCCGAATGCACGCGGTGATGGATGGTCAACGTTGACCTGTGCCTGAAGCTCTTCCCGCATTCGTCGCACCGGTAAGGGCGTTCATCCGTGTGCGTCTTGCGATGCCGTAGGAGGGTGGAGCTGACGCGGTAGCTCTTCCCGCAGTCGGGACACTTGTAGGGCATGTCACCGGTGTGGATGCGTCGGTGGGTGGTTAGGTTGGAGCGACGGTTGAAACGGCGTCCGCAATCCTGGCAACCGAAGGGTCGTTCGTCCGTGTGTATCCGATGGTGGTTCACCAACGCCGAGCGGCAACGGAAGCTCTTCCCGCATTCCCGGCAGGTGTTGGGTGCCTCACTGGTCCCGTTGTCCCCATGGGTCCTTGGGGACCGCTCCTGGCTGGAGGTTGGGGGTTCCACCGGTGCGTCCGCTTGCTCAGGAGCATCCTGCTGCCATATTTCCTCCTCCTTGATTGACCCCAAATCTGTTGGGGAGAGAGACCATCCCCAGCAGTCCTCTCCGGCTGGGAGGGGGTTACCGTGGAACGGGGACGGGGAACCACAGGAGTTATGGCTCAGGGGAGTGGGGAGCCAAGAGCCAGGTGGCCCCAGGAGAGGATCAAGGCTCCAAGGCAGAAGCCACCTCGAGAAGGGTTGGGGACGTGGTGGGAGGAGGGATGGGGACATGGGGGGAGGAGGGATGGGGGACATGGTTGGACAAGGTTTGGGGTCATGGCGGGAGAAGGGATGGGGACATGGGGGGAGAAGGTTTGGGGTCATGGTAGAAGGTTTGGGGTGACAGTTGGACAAGGTTTGGGGTCATGGTAGGAGAAGGGATGGGGACATGGGGAGAGAAGGTTTGGGGTCATGGTAGGAGAAGGTGTGGGGGCACGGTGAGAG